CTTCAGGTCCAGTCTGACGCCGGGGTCTTGGATGGCTGCCCTCCAATGAGTCGAGAAAGGCCACCCATCGGTGTTGCGGACCACGAAGTAGTGCCTCTTCCAGGCCGAGACCTTGCTAGGGAGCTTGTGCAACAGCTTGTACCCGGGGCGAGGAGACAAATAGTAACTTCGCCTGTGCTCGGGTAGAACGCAGGATGAGTTCTTCTTGACAGAAAGGATCGAAGAGAAGATGTTGAGGTCTAGGAGACGATTGTAATTGTGGAAAAGGGAAATGGTACCTACGATGTTACGAATGGAGTTCGGGTGCAACTGGTCTATGGCAATGTCAAAGAACTTAACGACTTCGACTATGAAAGGGTGGAGTGGAAGATGCAGCCCGACTACGAGCTGCTCCTCGAAGACCACAATCTTGTTGTGGCAATGATCCAAAGGAAAGTTGCCTTACGGAATACTATATACGAAGTCATTGGGGAGTCTGTACCGAGCTACTAAGGGTAGGAGCCTATCCGCTATCATTATTGACGGGCCGAAGCTATTTGGCAGGTGACCTCGGTGCGAAGTGGAGGCTGATTTTTCAGAAGCTTCTCGCTCTCGCTGAGGTGAGTCCACCTCGGACGGATTGGGGTCCACATCCTATGCCGAAGTGCCCACCACGGCAAGATGAGGCTCTGTGGTCTTTGCCGAGGTACCCAATTCGGCCCTAGCGGACTCGCCATCTAGAGGACTATCTAAGCTAAGACTAGACATACTAATGGAAAGGACAATAGAATCAAAAAGCAAAGGGAGACAGACTCACCAAAAGAAGACCGAATAAAGCAAGAAGACATCGGACCCAGAAATAGCTAACACCGAACTAGGATACTTGAATGTGACCTCAAGGATTTCGGATTAACAGATTTATGGTGAAGAAAATGGGCCCTTTGGCCCCTATTTATAACTAGTATATCCAAAAATCAATGGTCAAGATCAACACGATCCAACGACTCCTAGGAAAACTGGTTGCATGCCTCCCAAGGTTGAAATCGGTTTAGCATGCATTTTGATGTCCGTGGAGAGTATAATCGGCTTGACGTTCGTGGGTACCTGATACACGATCTGAGTCACTTCCTAGTTGAACCGAACGGTCGAACAGGTCCGACCAATGATCCACCCTCCACATCACATAGACTTCGTGCCAAATCCACCTAGGCTCGTCATGAACTCCCCGCACCGGGTCAGGACCCTTGGCACAAGGAGTGGGGGGCAATTAATGAAGGGTAGATTGGCACGACCTAGTAAGTAAAGGTCACGTGGACGCGATCTTCCTGTAGAATAACAACTCAGCAAGGGGAGCCTAGTCAGCAGTTTACAGAGTTCAGATGTTCGGCCACCTCGGCATAATGCCAGCTAGGTATAACGCTACTTCGTAATAACACCACCTTGGCATAATGCCACTTCGGCATAAGGTCAACTCGGCATAGAGTCACCTCGGCGCCTAATCAAGTTTGGGGCCCAGGAACCGAAGTGACACGAAATCGATTCTAGAAGCTTCCTAGTAGACTCCGAACATCACAGGATCACATCGCGTAACGACAGGCCTTATCCTCTCCCTGCCTGGATCGGGCGGCGATGATAAATTTCATTGACTGATACCTTACTCCCTGACTAAAGCAAAAACGGATCTTGTCCACTCAGGCCGCATATCCCAGAACCGTTTCGAGAGATCCATGATAGCTCAGCTATATAAGGGCATCAATCCCTCCAAGGTCTAGGTACATGCGATTACTTACATTTAAGCTCTCTAGCACTCAACTTTAGCTCGCAACCACAACAAGAATACTGACTTAAGCATCAGAGTGACCTCCCCGGGTCATCCATCCCAGTCTCTCTGATCCCTATTTTGAGTGCAAGTTCCTTAGCTGAAGAATGAAGAGTCCTTTTGTGATGCAGCACAGCCAAGCATTAGAGAAGCCCAGCTTAGCTCCTCGACTTCGGAACTGTGGGAGTCGTGTTCGGATTCCAAAGTTAGAATTCTCAAGGGGAGTGGTGTTCAGATTCTGAAGTTAGAATTCTCGAAGTTCCATTGCCGACGATCGAAGAACTCCTCAGCCATAATCCACATTGTGCGGATGACAAGCTCCGCCAAGTGCCGAGGAATACGAAGCAGACAAAACACTCAACCAGGACTTCAACTTGGAGTTCCTCAACCGAGAAATAAAGCACCCTGTCGAGCACTTCATTCCTCAACTTCAGAACTGGGGGAGTGGTGTTTGGATCTTGGTTGAGCGAGCCTTAGATGACACATGGCCGCCCAATCATCGCCCGATCACCCCGACCACGTCAACACGGCCCGACCAGCTTCGCGGCATACACCAACTCCACGGCCGTGACCGCGCTATGCTATTACCATAGCCCCCTATCTTATCCTCTTAGCCACGACAGGTACACGTCACACAGATAAGCACGACCAAGGATAGGAGGAGGGATGAGGGCAACTCCACTAGGGAATAGGGCTCTATCCCAAAGACCTCAGCGCTATGCTATTACCATCTCCTGCTCAAGGTAAGGGATTCGAACTTCTAGGATCCATACCGTTACTCTGCTCAGACCAACACCCTTATTGCTCGGCCCGACAATCAACCTCACCACCTACTAACTTGAGCGTCAGAGTATCTACTCAGGGATAACTCTTCGGGCCTCTGACATCCTTTCTTGATTGTTGGCAAGGACTATCTGATTACCTACCTCGGTTTGTGCACCACCTCGAATCGAGCAGCACCACTTTTTATTTTTGATTTTTTTTTAATTTAATCATTAATCACATTTTTTGAATAATTTATTAAGGCGTGACGTTCGACAACATTGAAACAGGAATGATATTGAAAAGAAAATAAAAATGAAAAAATACACTGCACTACACATTGCATAATTCTGAATTCCACTACAACCCTATACAATTCAAAATGACTAATACCCCACCCTAAAACACCAATACTTGTGTATCAACATCAATTCCGAGCTGGCACCTACTCCAACTGTATTATGGGGCTAAAAATTCTTAGGGTGTGCTGAACACTCATTCTCCGAAAAAAAATGAATTGCAAAAGTTAGGTCTCGTTTGACTCAACATCTAAACCATGCAATTGGAAATATAATTGAGAATAGGTACATGTAAACTTGGTTAGAGGTGCAGCTGGAAATTGACAATAGGTATATGTAGACTTGGTGGTGGCCCATGTGCCAAACATTTTTAGATGTATTTCAAATAATTCATTTTATTTTAATTCCAAACTTTACCTCTTGGTATAGGGGTGGGCCATCTTGAATTTTATCAACCTTGTCGAAAAAGGTGTTTTAGATGGTTCATAATGATTAAAATGTCCTCTATCCTTTTATTATTACAACAGCTTTAAAAAATAGAAGAATATATTATTTTCAAACATTAGGCTTAGTTGGGATGAAATATAAATATGTAGAGTGCAAAACCTTGTATTTTATACTATTTTGTATGCATTTGCGTTATACATATTTGGATTTGTACTCCTTTCAATGCCACCTAAATCTTTACTCTGAAAAGCCATCTCTATTAACCACACGCCAATTTGGTAAGTTGCCCACTTGTGACATCATCCCTAGTGAATTTGAAAGGCTGAGAGGTTTGGATTTAAAAACTCTCAAATAATACTAAATAAGGCAAATTACTTACACTATTCCTGAACTATTTGACAATTTTGAGAGGGGAAGTTAGGTTAATATGATTTTGATTCCTATTGATAAAAGATTCCTTGTTCTTTTATCAGATTTATGTGGAGATTAGGGAATATTTATTTTTCTAGGTATCCCTATCAAGGTTTTTAAAATTGGATTGGACATGGAACCATTTTAGGGTTTGGTTCCTGGGTCAAGCGGTCCAGCCGTCCAGTCCAAACGGACAGCCTGCTTTGATAGAAAAATTAAAAAAATTGAAAACCCAAAAACGGCCAAAAACCATTCTAGAGTCAAACAGTTTGACGGTTCGACCGACTGGGTCAGCGATTTAGACCAAATCAACTGTTTTGGCCAAAAAGTGATTTGGGGGTTAAACAGAACCAATGAGCTGACTAGTTCCTGTTTTTCCAATCCGACCATCCAGTCCAGTCCAATTTTAAAAACATTGATTCCTATCTATTAGGTGAATAAATAAGTTTCCTCAAAATGGAAAAATTGCCAACTCGAGGGGCATTAAATGAAAAACGAAAACGAATGGGGCCTTAAATGCAACTCGGTGGGGGGGTGTGAATTAAGAGAATTCAAAGTAAAAGTTTAAAGGGAGAATGACGGTTTAGCCAAAGGGGGCGTGTGTCTTCCACACGCCTTTCATCTTCCATTTTTAAATGTTTCACAAAAATCAGAGGAGATGTTCAAGTAAGTTTCCAATAAAACTATTAAATTAAGCACAGAGAACGGAACCCATTGATAAGAAAAAAAAAAAAAAATCCATTAAAATAATTAATAAAGAGTCCCCACCTGTCTCCATCATTACCACGCGACATAAGATTCTTTTTCAATAAATACCCAAAAGGGGCGTGTGTCTTCCACACGCCTTTCATCTTCCATTCATCCACCTTAGACGGTTCAGAATTTTCTTTCCATTTTTCTCCTCCATGGCAGTCTGTGACTCTGCAGATCAACCAACCCTCAACGACGCCAAACTGGCCGTCCACAGCAACGATGTTGAAGGACAGA